ATTCTTAAATACCGTGGTTTTTATTGAATGTTATTGTTTTTATAGATTGACTAATTGCTTGAATGCTATGGTTATCATTGCTAACAGGTTACTAGTTAGCAGTTTTGTTCTGATGCTCACAAAGTCCTTCCTTGTTAACATTCCTAATAAACATTCCATGTCAAAGTGCAGCAAGAATTTGTATCAATTTAGCATAAATGTGTACAGTTAATGTTGTTATTGTTCATAACATAAAAATATACTATTTTTTTTCTTTTCTCATGTCTCTTCTGAAAGATTTTATACATTTTGAATTACTTTTTTTATTCTATTGTGAAGCTCTTGGGTTCAAATCTGCTTTAGGCAATTTCTTTTTCATTTCACCTTGGTTTCCAGGCCAACCAGCCTAAAATGGGTACCAGGTAATGTCATGGGAAGTAAAGGCAGCTGGTGTGATACTGACCATTTGGTTTCTGAAAATTTGAGTCTAGCATCATATACCTGATGCAATGCTGGAGTAAAAAAGGTTTTCTTAACATTCCATTGCTGGTATAAAGAACATTTGTTGTGGATGTTTTATAATCTGAATTTTCTTGATTGTGAATCTTCTGTAAAATTGTGTTTCAATTCAGTCCAGTGCACTAACAGACTTTCATTGAGGTTGGTGTAGAGATGTTTCTCTTGATATGATACTAAACTACTTATCTTCCTAGGAACTGCACAGTTCTCCCTTTCCTCTGTAAGCTCACAAACCAGCAGGATGAGTCAAAGAAGTACTGAAACTTCACATCATTTAGAATTACAAATGAGGACAGTTAACATGTACATAATGCGATGACAGACATTAGGAAGAGCCATTTTTCACATCCCTTATGATCAATAAAGTTAAAGTATATTTCAGCTTTTACAAAGAATGTTAGAATCTTCATTCATTTTCATATCTTAATAATTATTCATGTGTCCATATTATTTAGTTGATGTTATTGTAACCTACTACCAATCATGACAAATACAAATGTAATCATTTGATTGATTATTCTTGATATTTGACACCTCTTGTTTTGGTCACACATAAAAATAATGTGAAAACATGACAGACATGGATTGTGGCAGTACCTTTAGGTGTTTTTGTATGTGTGTGTTTCTATCATAACATTTCTATAATTCACCACCATTGCCGGTCACATGTCTGGATTAGAGAGGAGGAGGTTTGGGTCTGGGGGCTAGCTCTCCAACCTGTAAAGAACATATGCTACTGAAACTCACAGAATAGGAAAGAATCCCTAACAGATATTTAAATGGGAAACAGGTAGATTGAGGAAGCCTTAAAAAAACCCCAGTTGGACATTGAGAGATCCCGAGGGTGTTGAACTGGATTCCATCCATGATGTTGAAATAATTGCACAGGGTAGAATGGAATGGCAGAAAATCTTTACAAAATATCTCACCAATATGCTAACTGTCCATGATTCACTTCTGTAAATGTTGACTTTTCAGACATATCTAAGCAGCATCTCTTTATTGCTCTCTAATACAAAAAAAAAACTTGCTGAGTCTTCATGCCAGCGTATCATATTTATATGCTTTGTATTCCAACAGTATGTATATAGATTTGATGATTTGAAATAAAAGTTTTGTATAAAAAAAAATTAATTTCACCTAGTTTTTGTTTTGCCTGGTTGGAAGGCCTGAGGATTTCTTTGTTTTTCCCATCTGACTTCCGGGATGCCACTGGGAGAGGGGGCAGACCCATTGCCTCCCTAACAAGCATATTGTAAAAGTTGACTAATTAGGGTGTTTCCTTCATAGCTGGAGTGCATCTGCCTGAGAGTCTGTATACAAACAATCTGGGTCTGTGCATGGGAAAACTCCAGTTCTGGCCAAAGTCCAGAAGTGTTCAAATAACCAGAATTTTCCATTGGAGTGTGCATTCGGTGAATGCTAAGAAAAAGATGGACAAGTGCGAGTACTTTATTGAAAACAGGCAAGATAGGACACTGCACAAGAAACATTTCCGCACAAGAAACATTTCCAAATTATAAAAGAAACCCACACACAAAAAGCTGTGGCTAGATGCATGACTACCAGCTTGTTTGTCATGGATTTGAACCTGTACTGAGCAAACATTTCCAAAATGGCGATGGCTCTCAGATCAACCCAGCCTAAAAGGGGCACCAGGAAATATCCAGAGACATAAAGGCGACCGGTGCGATGTTGACCACATCACCTGTCAAGTGCCAGTTAGTCTGTACAAAACATGATCTGGCAACATTTGTGCTAATGGCCTAAAAGGGTTCTTTATTTAGCCACACATGTGAAAAGAAAATATAGCATGTGATGGTTCTGGTATACAGACATTTGAATCCTTGCTGGTGCTGCAGGGTTGGTGAGCTGTGCTGAAATTATCTTTGAGTGATATATGGGAGAAGATTAAACAATAATGGGGATTGTGTGCAATGAAAGCGATACTTTACATATCAAAACTATTGTGTTTCATTCTTGCTGTACAGAACCAGCCTAGCCCTTACATACACAGCAAGCAGCTATGTCCCCCACCCCCACCCCTTTTTTTCGATCTGTCTTCACCTTGGTATGGTAGCGAGATTTATGTTCCAATGACCACCAAGAGCTATGCCTGAATTAGGTAGCTACCGGAAGCGCCTCCCATGTCAGAGAGATGAAGGGACATGATTTCTGCTGCCTCGAATATAGACAGAAGACAGTCAAAAGCTAGGAAAAGCAAATGTGAAAAAATGCTTGTCGAAATCAGATGTACATGATAAGAGAAAGACCCAATTGTGATGTTCGTACAAGTGTCAGGTCTGCGGACCGCTTCCTACCGAACTCCAAATGCATAACCAGTGACGAGTGAGAGTTTAAATATATGAAAATGAGGTAAAGCTGGCATGCGTGCGACGTGGCAATTCCTTGGGTGAGCCAGTAACCAGAGAGCCATATATTGGCTCTGCATTTATGGAAGCTTCTTGGATGGCAAGAAATGCCCATGTTCTACCCCTGCCATCTCTTGAGGTCTAATCATGATGCATGCAGCTGCCCTACAAGGATCCATTAAATGGCACCATATGTGACCAGATTAAAGAGGGAAAAAAAGATTTTTTTAAAATGAGGCCATGCAATGTCCCAGGAAACTAATCCAGAATAATTGACCCAGACAAAAAAATAATGACTCTGGATCAGTCTGCTGAAATACCATAATCATTTTGTGAACAGATACATAATTATATCACCCAGACAAATGACGAGAAAATAAGACTTCGTGATGACATATTCCCTTCCAAGATAAAAGTAGGAAGTAGTTTTTAGTACAATATTTTCTATTTTTTAATAGAAACAAGTATAGATAATGCCTGAATGGACACTGAACAACAAGAAGCTACACTCTGCCTGCTGGTCCAAATCTGCATCGAGCAATTTAATTTCTTTCTACAATGATCTTGGTTCCTAGAGTGACCCAGTCTAAAATGGGTATCAGGTATAGTTCTGGGAAGTTAAGGCAGCAGACTTGACGTTAACCACATCTCCCACTGAGGGGCGACTGGTCTATACAAAAAACTAGCATCACATGCCTGATGTGCCACTGGTGTCAAAAGTGCACTGACTTTCATTACTTATTTTTACATGCACGGTCTTCACGGCAAAGTTTTCAAGCCACTTGCCTTATGCTCTGAAGGATGCGGGTTTGTTTCATGGCAGTGGTGTTTGGATCAGACCCCCTGGTACAATTGTTTGAGCTACAAAGTTTGTGCTTTGTGTGAGACTCGGCAAGTGTTTAGCCAGTCTGCTGAGAGAGACCATGCCATATGGGATACAACCTAGTGCAATGAAATCTATCCTCTTATCTCTGACCTGTATCTTACATTAACTGGCTAGTATTCTGTCTGGGTTCCACTTGGAGATAAGGAGAGATTTCTAACTTGGTTTTACAAGTGGCTCAGAGACACGTTCAGTAATTTAAAATTAGTAACAAAGATTGTAATGTCAATTTCTCCCTAAAACTTGCCTACAATGCGATTGGAATAATGTCAGATTTCTTCTATAAACATATTGGAGCAATGTTATTTTTTTCTTACAAACAGAATGGAGTAATTTCAGTTTTATTTCTTGACAAAGATAATGGAATAATGTCAGTTTTTCCCGATAAACAGTGGAATAATGCTAGATTTCTAAACTAAATGGATTAATTTGAAATAATGAGTATATAAATGGAAATTCCACTGGTGTGATGTACAGTATAACCAGATTTGTGTATTTTAGTGCAACAGATTCAGTGTCTGTGCTTCATTACATGATTTCACTGTGCACTAATGCACCAGACGAGATACACTGAAATATGTCAGGTAAAAAAAAAAAAATATGATGCAATGTACTGTTTGAGTCCACAGTTATTTAAATTCAAAATAGGAAAACACTATTTAGAATGGTGTGCTTTTATGTTTTTCGCTACAAACAAAATGGAGTAATAGCAGTTTCCCCATACAATCAGAACAGAAAAATGTCAGTTTTACCTTAAAAACAAAATGGAGTAATGCTAGTTTTTCTCAACAAACATAAAGGAATAATGCCTGTTTTTCTCAACAAACATAAAGGAGTAATGCCTGTTTTTCTTAACAAACTTAAAGGAGTAATGTCAGTTTTCCCCTACAAACAGAATAAGTAATGACCTTGCTTCGAAGTTGGAGTGCATCTGCCTGAGGGGCAAGGAACAACCAACCGCATACAAATAAAAATTAGCCACTAAAATGGATGTGCATGCAAAACTCAATCCCTGGCTGAAAGCCAAAGTCCAAACAACCAGGACTTTCTGCCGGAGCGTCCAGACAGTGAACAAAGAAGTATTAATGCCCAATTCATCTTTCAATTTTTTTTAAACCAATTTAATGCCAGATTTTCTACTACAAACAAGAAAGAAGTAATGTCATTTGTACTCCACAAACTTGCCTATACAAACATGTAATGACTGAAATTTTTTTTATTGTTTTACTTCAAAGTTGCAAAAACTGTTATGAAGAACTGTGAGGTTTAAACTCAGGTTTTGGCAATAAAAATGGAGTCTTCCAGACTCGAACCTTCAAAATCATCCTGTCTTTGCTGGTCTTGTCTGAGTAGATTTTCAGAACTTTCACTCTTTTCACCTTTAGCTGATCTTCTGTCTTTTCCAAAACAACGTCTGCATAGTCACCTGTGTCCATCTAGAAAGAACGAGCAGAAAGTTAATAAACCAGAAAATCAACGAAGTAAACACGATTTAACATAGTAAATGAGAGATCAGATAAAGTAAACAAGTAATTCAACACATTAAAAAAGCAATTTAGCAAAGTCAACATAAAATACCACAATGAAAACAAGCAATTTTAAAAGTAAATAAGAGATTCAATAAAATAAACAGGCCTTTTAATAAAAATAGACTTGAGATTTTTTTTTAATTGACAACTAATTTAACAAAGTAAGCAACAAATTCAATAAAGTAAACAAAAGATTCTATAAAATAAAGAAGAGTTTCAACAAAGAAAAGAAAAAATTTAACAAAATAAATAAGAGATTGAGAGAAAATAAACAAGTAATCAAACAAACAAACAAAAACAAGATATTCTACAACATAAGACACATAGAAATTAAAATAAAATAAAGAGGTTCAACAAAATAACAGGTTTAAATTCTAACCCAGTCACAGAAGAACCTGCAGCAGACATACAAAGTGAAACAATCATCTATTATAATGTGCCTTCTTGGTAAATGAACAACATATCATGTTTACCAACATCCCATAGATGCTTGCCTGCCGAGGCAAAGGTCTTGAGTTTAAATCTGTACTGATTCAGATTTGTCTTCCAAAACTGACCTTGGCTTCCAGATAAAAATTCTGGGAAGTAAATGTGGGCCTGCTTGATGTTGACAACATCGTCCACCGAGTGCCGATAGGTCTGTAAAAATATGAGTCTAGCATCACATGCCACATGTGGTACTGGGATAAAAAGGGTCCTTACATCCACAACCCCAGGACCTCAATATTGACTTGAATTTCTTACTGATTGTTCAGGTTTCTGTGCCATATATAAGGTGTCATTAATTATATATATTTATATATACACACTTACTGGGAGTCACCGTGGCCGAGCGGCTAGACGCTCGCCGCGGATCAGAAGGCCGTGGGTTCGCTCCCCGGCGGAGCCGGACTTTTTTTTTTCAAAAATGACCTTGGCTCCCAGGTTGACCCAGCCTTGAGTGGGTACCGGGTGCAGTCCCTGTAAAGTAAAGGCAGCCGGCATGATGCTGACCATATCACCCATCTTGTGCCGATTGGTCTATAAAAATCTAGCCCTATATGCCCTATACGCTTAAAGGCGTGGAAAAGTGTCATTTACTTGTTTTTATACACTTACTGGAGACTGTGCAAAAGAAAAACAAAACTAAAACAATCACTGATTCCACACGTGGGCTTCAAAGCCCACTACTGGGCAAAGAAAGAGCAGACCTAATGAACCTCACCAAACATATCCTAAAAAGCAACTAATTAGTGGTTTGTTAAAACAAGTGTTGGCCCTAAAAGCACAGATATCACAGCCTAGCTGTCAACCAAAACGTCTGCCAAATGCCCTTTTAATGACAAATGCAGAAAAAGATGAAGAACCAAAATCACCAATGCTGAGCTTAAGGAGAATACTAAATGTGATGAACAACACATCCCAGTTAAATGAGAGTTGATGTTAAGACACTGGCATGGACATTCATTAAGAAAACCTGTTAAAACTATAAACAGAAAGTCCTTCCTCTGGAATCCACAGGGTAAAAGAAATAGAAAGAGGCCTAAAAATACAGGGACAACAGATATGGAGGTGAATAAAATGGAAAGGTATTGGAAGAAAATAAGGAAGCAGCAAAGGACAGAAGGGCTAGGCATGAGTTGGCTGACAGCTTATGCTTCTGGATAGCAAAAGCAGAGGACACCACTAGCCCAATGTGTCCACTAGAACATGTCAGGCTGTGTGCCTGAATACAAAGAAAACACTGACTTGTAAAGGAATTTCTTGCAAAGAAATGTATCAATAATAATAATAATTTATGTAAAACTTTGAAATCTCGACTTCTTCTTCTCCTCCACCTTAACATTCACTGGCTGTAAACTCTGGTGAAAAGTGTTTGTTGTTTGTCCCCATTTTATCTTTGGTCTTGTTCCAGAACTTGAGTTTGGCATGCACATCCACTTTACAGATTTTGCTTATTTGTGTTCAAGGTTCCTCACCTCTCAAGCAGACACATTGATTTTTAAGGAAATACCTCGAATTAGTCGCCTTTTTCAACATGCTTGACAATCAGACAGTTACTGGTACCATCGTAATTAAAACTCTTCGCTTGCTGCTGAAGATGGGGACTGAGCACTTATGGGAGTGTCCAGAGTGCTGTGATGTTGATTCTTAATTCAACATTCTATGACGTGCTTGTTGGGAAGGGAAGGGGACTCAAGAACCTACATGTACATGGGGAAAACGGCACGGCTTTATTCTATAGCAAATTATTCATACAAAAACTAAGCATGTATAAATTAATTACCTTCACTGATTTCTTCAGTAACTTTTCTCCGTTTAAATAAAGTGCTGATTTCAAGAAAATCTCCTCAAATTCACTGGAAATGAAAAAAAAAACGCTTTTATTTTAACTTGGTTTTTCAAAATTGTTAAGTATTCAGTTTATAATCGAACTATAAGACGTAATAACAGTTTAAATTTCAACTACAAGACCTCTGTATTAATAATTTCTATTTTAACCACAAAACTCTTCTTTTTTGTGTTTGGTTTCGCATGCTCAGATCACACCATCGGGTAGGTTGCCTCTATGAACTTGAATGTCAGCAGCAGGTCCTTCATGGTTCCCCATAGCTTGCTCTGTACACTCTGCTCTTGAGGCCAGGTTTCTTTTTTAAGTTGTAGGTAGAATTGGCAGGTCTGCAGAATGTGCTCAGGTGTTTGTGGTCCTGTCTGACAGGCATGCTGTGAGACTGTGGAAACTGTACAGTCTTTATTAAAAGGCTCAAATTTTGGTATTAATAGTATATATTTAACAGTGAAACTGATTTTCACATAAAATTCAAGTCATTAACAGTAAAAAATATACTTTCCTGATAGTTATGGCAGGATCTTACCCCCCCCCCCCCCCCCCCTTCCCAATGTTCGGATCAGGACTAACAGTTAAATTTAGTTTATCATAATATTCGATGTATGACTGATATAGGTAAAATTTACATTCTCCTTACATTCAAGGCAAAATCAATAGTCAACTTTTACTTCTTTTTAACATTCACTGCATGGCTGATAGTAAAACTTACTTTCTGCTTATATTCAAAGCATGGCTGATAACAGCATCTGCTCTGTTAGAAGCTGCAGTAATCTTCTGGACTTTGAACTGTGGTGGGGCATCAAAGTCATCATCATCTAGTGCATCATCTTGGTCCGAATCATTCTCTTCCTAAACAGAAGAAGCAGTATTGCAGTTATGATGACAAACATTAAACACAGGGAAAATTTTAAATCATGAAGTCTTTCTTCATGACAGACTCCTTAAAAACCCTGTCATAGAAGGCAACTAATTAGGAATATTTCCTTTGAAGGAGTGCATCTGCCTGAGAGGCAAGGAACCAACAGTCTGCATACAAATAATCCAGATCTGTAAAACAGATGTGTGTGCAGCACTCATGTTCTGGAACAAGACTAAAGTCTAGAGCTGGATGAACAACCAGAACTTGTCACCAGTTTGCAGCCACCTAGTGAGAAGAAGAAGAAATGTTTTAAAAGGTAACCAAAAAAAAAAACTAAAAATGTACAGTCGGGAGATGTGACAGCTAATAAGCAACTGTCCGCCTGTGTCACCGTCTGGAGGCAACTCCGTAGCTACAGCGACGTTCCTCCATTTACCCCAGAGTGTTAACTCTAGTATCCATTTCCTAGAGGCTGGATGAACATCGGGAACCGCCCGGTTTCAAACATCGGCCGTGGGCTGCAGCAAGCAAAGGCTGGATTTGAAAGAGAGTCTCTTATTGACTGTACTAATGTGGCCCCTTAGAAATGTTTTACGTGAGTTTACAGCTGGTGAACATGAAGAAGATATAAAGCAACTGTCAGATTCCAACACCTACAGTCTGGCACTTGTATTGATATTCACAGTTGATGGAATCAGCATAAGGCGCATAACCAATTCTGTTGCAACCAGCCACTTGCCATTTTCTTAATATGCAGTTTACAACACACATCTGCCGCGGCACAGACAACAAGAATTTCTCAGGAAGAAATTCCCAGTTCATAGTTTTGCATTGTGCACTTATCTCAGCAGCTAGCTAACGGAACCGGATTTTGCCTTTACCTTTTCTTTTGTCCCATCCAGTTTTACACAGGGTGTACTTCACCAGAAACAAACACAATGCTAGAAATAAATAGTCCTGACACACAAAAAAATCTTCTTTGCATTCACTAGTTGTAAACTCTAGTGGAAAGTTCTCGATGTTCATCCACTTCTGTACTTTGGTCTTGTTCTAGAATTCATGTTTTGCATATTCATTTTACAGATCTAGCTTATTTGTATGCAGACTGTTGGTTCCTTGCCGCTCAGGCTGATGCACTTTGAAGAAAACATCCCTATTTAGCCTTATATGACATGCTTGTTAGGGAGGCTATTCTTTTCCCTTCAAAAAATGGGGCGCTGGAACCCAAACAACCAGGAAATACAAAAAGCAACTTACATTTTCAGTATCCTGCTGTGTGGTTTTGGACTTGTTCCTCACTTGAGAAATCTTGCTGCCCATCCTGAAGCTCACATTTCTAGTCTCACACAGTAAATCTTTCTTACCAACATACAAACTGTTAATACAACCATCTCCTCTGTAGCTAGAGAAACCTGCACTAAATACTGAAGTACTACTTTTGGCACATCTCTGACAGAAAACCTGGCATGGACAACAGGATTTTGTCAGCGGACTTGTTAGGTGCTTGTGAAAGCTACGAGCAGTCTGTTGTGAAGCTAATAAACCTGTTGTAGGAGTTGGTAAATTTTTTATAACACAGAATGTTCTGACTATAGATCCTGCCATTCTGTTTTTAATGTATAATAGTTTCTATTTTATGTCACACTCAACTCTTATGTTATTGTTTATCAGCTGATTCTGGATCAGTTCTTCAATACTACCTGGAGACAAATGAATTCAAAAACTATTAATAATTGAAAAGTAAAGAATTGTGTAAAAAAAAAAAAAAAAACTATCAACAATTCACGATCTACTTGAATTTGATTTATATGGCAGACTTATTCATTTTTTTTATTTGTACTCTTTATGGACTGGTCGCTACTTAAGTGGCTTTTGAATCCATCCCATTTAGACTATTCACCACTATAGTGGTGCCTTATAGAGACACTCTAATTTTCAAATGGTCATAACATTCGATGTATTTAAATTAATTATTTCAATAAAGACTAGCGGGGTAAACCTTACAAAAATCTCCCCAAACAGAGTTAGCCCTGCCTATTTACATACTAGGTCACTTTTGATTAGTAGTTGCTGAGCCCCCCACAAGGTTACGGGTGTTCCGTGTTGTATTTTTCAGGACGCCAGCGCTTTTAATGCTCTAAAAATATGGAGCACTAGCTCTAACACAACACCCCTATGAGAGTGCTGTAACCTATGTGACAGGCATTCTCTTTCTCGAAATAAAAACGTAAATGGAAGACAACAAAGAAAGCAAACATTAGAGTGGGACACACCCCTAAACTTCAGTAAAGTTGACCATCCTAACAAACTATGAATGAAAAGTGACCTATTGCATGAATAGGCGGGGCTATCTGAGGAGATTTTCGTAATACTCATCGACTAGCTGATACATAATTGAACAGAGAAGGCATGTGAATACTTACAAATGGATAACAGTATTGATGAACAAGTAAAAAGTAAGGTAAGCACAACATTTCTCTATGTAAATAATCTTCATATGTGGCTAACATCCATGAATGTTGTGTGATTTTAATAATATTTTTTTGTAATACTGACACTTAAAAATAGTTTAGATTTATTTTGCACTCATTTTTCTTAAATTTAATATATTATATGTCTCTATACAGCCAATATTTTTTTGTCAGGAAGGTTTTAGCTTCATTATGTTGCAGTAAAAAAATTTCAGCTCAAAATTAATGCTATCCAAACAACAGAAAAATGTTGTCCTGAAAGAGTTAATCAATTGTTCTAGTGGCTTTTGGATAGTGATACACTTTAAGAACTGTGCCGTGGAAAAAAATGTGGGTCTTGCTACATATTCTCAGAGACAGAGCAGTGGTTGGGGATGGGGGGGGGGGGGGGGGGGGTGTGCTCTCCAGCCAAACTTGACTGGATATGACACATGATCTTATTTAAGTGGTGGGGGGGGGGGGGTGTGTGCACTCCAGCCAAACTTGACTGGATATGACACACGATCTTATTTAAGTGACTGAGGAAGTTCAGCGAGGAAGAGGGAGGAAAATACATGCAAAGATACAACTTAAACTGAAAGTTTCAAGCAAAGTCTTTTTATAAATATTTGCCTTACAGATTGCATTTCTCCTTGTGGTGTGGGCTCCCCTTTGGTGTTGGGTTAAGCTCTGTTACCAATGATCCACAGAAAATATGTAAGAAAACCATTAACCTAGGCTTTATTCTCGTCAGTCTATACAATATGCTGGCACCTTTCCATATTTCCTGCCGATAGTGTACATGGTTTCCGGGTTCCCACTCAGAGTGCAAACTGAAGGCGACTGGAGCGACTCAAGCAAGCAGTCAAACGAGCCATTCTGAACACTGTCATTATTTGTTGTCTTCAGTCAGAGGATAACCTACCAGGAACAAATCTCATACATACACACTAACACTCCATCCAACCTAACTGCCCCCATCCCCCAAGTATATTTGGACACATCACGCCACAGTTGTTTTGTGCGGGAGTGACTGATGTAAAGGACCTTCCTTGTGAGATTAAAACTAAAACATTATTCAATAAAATTACCAACTGACCGCACAACCAGCATGAAAGAGGACAACAAACCTTCCTTGTCTCCTTTCCGTGAGAGTTTCACAGGGAAAACTTCAAAACCTGCAATTAACACAACTTGAACGACTAGATTTTCAACAAACAAAAAAAAATGTTACTCGTCTTCCTGTCTTTTATAATTTTGCCATATTTGAAGGGGTTTCAGCATGCTGCTGGATACCGCAAGTTGCAGAGAGGCATAATCGACCTCGCTAGTCGACAAGGCGCTTGATGGTAATGATGATCTTGCTACATAAACACACAAAAGGGCATGATTCTGGCAAATGAACTATAACAAACATGTAGCTATTCGGTTTCGCGTGAATATATGAATATAATGGATGTATTTTCTACTTCTTCAGCGATCTCTGGTCATGCGCATAATCCACTGTGGGTCATAAACTGGGATGTCTTTTCAAGGTCTCTTAGGTTTCCCCAAAGCTTAGTTGTCAGTTCTACTGGACGTTGCTCCGCAGCTCCGCCAAGAAAGCACAGTCATGCAGGAAATGTTCTGGAGTCTGTTCAGCACGAAGGCACTGGCAGAGAGCTGTTTGGCTCATACCTAATTTATGTGAGTGTTTATTGAGTCTGCAGTGTCCACTACGTAAGCGAAAAACTGTGACTTGGTCTGTTCTGTTCAAGTGTTTCAGAAAAACTTTTTCGTAGTTATAACCAGTGTTGGTTTTCCAATCTATTTCTGATTTTCTCTTAATGAGAGTTTTGACTTCTGGAAAAGATAGTGGCTGGTAGGTCTGTAGTTTGTTACTGCCTTCCTTGGCTAAAGCATCAGAGTTTTCATTGTCTTTGATGTCACAGTGAGACAGAATTCACTGCAAGTACATTTCTGCCTTTTTTGACAACATAGCAAGTTCCTTTGTTAGACTTTGTAGTGTACTGTCGGTAAGTTTGGACTCAATGGCCTGTATAGCTGACAGTGAGTCAGTGAGAAAACCCATCCTGTCTGCGGTGATTTGCATATTGTTCATTTATAATGCATGTATGACGATAGCTGCTGAAAGCTGCTCTGTGGAAGTCGGTGACCAGACATGTACATTGCTTGGCTGCGCGCGCGCACACACACACGCGCACACACACACACATATACACACACACGCACAAACCCACCCACACACACACGTCACCACGAACTGCTTTTTCTGGAACATTCCTACATTTCCCAAAATCAACGCAATGAGGAGAGGCAAAAGATGCTCAAACTGGGTTACAGCCATGGTATCCAACCGATTACAACGGATAGAACGGAATGGAGCTATCATATACGAGTCTTATGTGATGTATAAATGGCACAACAGTGAGATGATCATCACCACCGTCCACTTTTGCTGTCATGAAACAGTTGGCACGTCAACGTTACAGGGGATTTGTGTGGATATTATCCGGAATATGCAGAAGTGCAAGTGAATGAAAAAAAGGGGCTTGTGTTTGCGTGTATGTGAATGTGTCTATGCTACAAAGGAACACTGGTACCCGACAAAGTAAACATTCTGAAGACCATTCATGAAAGAATACTGATAGAAGACACCAGGTTACAACATTTGTGAGAATGTTGGTACGTGGAATAAGTGATGGATCGGAGACAGGAGAGGCGAATAAGATAAAAAGAACGACGTGTGTTTATCAGTGTGCTACGGGAACAGTTAGCATCTTCACCTTGAGACATATGCTGCGAGCGATCGAGCATCTATGATTATGCTTGGTGTGCTATGATGTCAATTCTTAAATCACTAATCAGTAAACCAGTGCTCGATATACAAAACACTGATAGACTTGTATTGATTAGCACTGACAGAAAGAAGTAGATTAAAAAAATAACACAATGGAAAATATAAAGATCGAAATCTATAGTTACAATACACATGAACAAGTGCAAGCATAAATAGGCATGATGATTTTCTCACCGATGCACTTTCTACCATACAGGCTGTAGATGCTAAACTATTGACGACACACTAAAGTCTTTAAAAAACTAGATAAGCGACACAAGTGCAAAAACTCACCTGCAGTGGATTTCATTCCACTGCGTGAGGCATCAAAGAGCTGACGCTTAGCGAAGGAGGGCAGTGTCAAACAACAAACCTACCAACCACCCTCCTTTTCAAAAGTTAAACCCTCGTAAGATAAAAATCAGAAACAGGCTTAAAAACAAACATTGGTTACAACCATGAAAAATATTTACGTAGAAATCTGTCAAGAATTCATTTTCGCCATTTTCCTCTAGCTACATGTTTTAAAACAAAACATCTCACACAGATCATTCCATCTTGTGCTGCCACTGCCAGACATGGTCACTCACTCGACAGTCTCTAGAATAACTTGAAGATTTACAGTTGGAGCCGGTCGTCGGTCATTCAAAACAAACCAGAAAGAAAAAATGTGTAACCCTGAAAATGAAATATCTGAGAATGGCTTTAGGAGTGACCAGCGGAGATAAGAATCAGGAATAATTCGTAAGAGGGGAAAAGGCGGCACACAACTAACTATAATCTACATATAAAGAAAGCAAATCAAATGGCTTACTCGCAGAAAATGCCGTATGACGTCATATCATACACCAACAGAGAGATGGGACAAGGTAGACCAAGAAAAAAAAGACAGTATAACACATCTTGGTAATGAAAGCTGACCTGCTGGCAAGTAACACACCAGTGCAAACGGGAAGAAGCATGGACAGAGCTGATGTCAACGCTGCACGGACAAAGTTGGGGGATAATAGCGAATCTATGACGCTAACACGACTTCATGACCGAGGAGTTAAGCTTGGTGAGCACGTCTTCGAGGTAAAAACCGGAGATAGTATATCCAACTCCTCATGGTAACAACTAGTCTTTAGCCTTAAGCTGGCGATGAATTAGTAGGGATACCTTGGAGTGGCTGCTGCATCAGAGGACTGAGCACGCATTGAGATGCCCAATGATCAAAGATGTCAATTGTCATAAAATAACAAGAGAATCTCTGCAACAGCACTGTGTTTTTATGGTCCAGTCCATTGTTCTCCAAACTGTGTGCCGCGGCAAACCCA